CCGCAGGCACTCACCGCACTCTTGAAGAAACTTCCCTTGCATTTTTTGGAGCCAAAAACTACCTCCATATTTGTTATAGGATCTTCACCCATGCCAGGCAAGCTAAAATATGAAGACATGAGCATTACTCCTTGCCCCCTTTTTGAAGCTACACTGCTTAACACCTACTTCCTTGGAGAGCTTTTAATGCCAGAACCATCCGCAAGCATCGGCGAACTTTTTCACAGCCACACTCTCTTTTTAGAATTAATGCAAAGAAAAAAAGGCTAAGAAAATAAAGGAATTCCCATACAAAGGAAAAATCAACTTACATTTTCAGTGAATTCTGTCACAGTCACTGCTGCCTCCCGGAGCACAAGAATATTAAAATCTGTGCTGCGTGCTCCCCTTGTCCCCAGGAGGCCTCAGCTCCTGAGGAAGCCGCCCATTGCTCAGCACCGAGCCGGACGCCAAGGGCCCTGGCCCTGCTCGCTCCACAGAGGTGCACGTCCTCGCTTTGCCGCCTGGTGCGCCCATCATGATTCACTTGGAGTCAGGAGAAGCCACAACTCGCTCTCTTAACTCACCACAAAGCACTTCATGAATATCTATTTACATGTGCAATTTATTTGTGCACACACCCAATCCTCTATGTAATTTAGATGGATGACGGACTTACCAGGCTTGTTTCCAGAACAGCCGGGCCACGTCCCAGGTGACAAGGAATGAAGCCATGAGCAGAGGAGGCAGGGGGCCCCCGAGCTTGCTTACGAGCTGCCAGGGCAAGGGGCTAGGGCTCCGGCCACTGGGAGGCCTTCAGAGCAGCGAGGGGCTCCTCATGCGGGAGTTTGTACCTGGTGTAGAAAGGAACTCGGGCCCGATATGACGTAGAAGTCTAGGAACTTCTCAGGGTCCTTGAGGGCCCATGAGGGGCCCCTGCACTCTTGAACCCACGCCCTGCGTGAGTAAGCTCTGGGGAGGCCCCAGACAGCTGCAGGCCACCTGGCAGATGTTCTGGTAAGAGCAGGGGAGGTGCTGACTCAGCAGACTCCGTCTGTGGCTTCCTGTCTCCATTCTGGAGTGGCCACCCTTACTGCCCGACAGAACCCTCACGCCTGCTACAGACTGGTTAGATCATGTCACTCTACATTCAGAGATGGCTCCTTTTACAAATCCCAAGCTCCAATTTGTCCTTTCTAAAGACAGGATTACAGCTCAGGTCTATAGACCCAGGTTCCTAACTTTGCACCAGGCCATTCAAGGCTTCCTTTGGGTGCACAAACATGGGTTCACGGGACACCCACTTGGCAGAGTGCCTACACCCCCGAGGTGAGGGATGGGGTCTTGGGAGCCAAAGCACAGCTCTTAGCACGTGCCCACTAATATTTCTCTACCATGTGCCACCCCACAGTCTGGTGCAGCCCAATCCTGAGGTCCTGAAGACAGCTCCTGGGCCTTGCCGTGGCCCATCCAAAGCTCTACCCTGTAACCTGTTTTGCTTGCTTTCTTCTCCTTGCCGATCAGAGGAAGGACTCTTCGGCTAAGTCCCTGCTCGTTGTAATATGAAATATTCAATATGAGATGTACGCTACACAGATCTAAGACATTGTCTCTTCAAGTTCTTGCTGGAATCTTGCGAGCTACACGTGATTTCTCAGAACATGTCTCCATACATTTAATTCCATCAGACACCCAGAACAATTTTAGTTTCCTAGTTTATCTCTTTTACGTGTGGCTCTTATCCCTCTTCGGTCCCAGCAAAATCAGGTCTGGTTGCTGCCACGCCCATGACTGTATCTGTTCCCGTGCCCAGCCCTGCTGGTATCTCCAACTCTCTTCCCGCCTGATGATCCCTACCTAATTTTCCTAGCAGCCCTTTTTTGCCCAAAACCCCTGATATTTATAAGCCCCATGTAGTAACTTCCACAAAACAGAAATCAAAGCATGTGTTGATCTGAACAAAACACCATCAGCTGATTCAAATAAAGTAGTTTCCAGGTCAACACTGCATCTCAGGAGAAATAGATTTTTTAAAATTTTCTTAGCTCCAACAGATTGATGTATACCACTCAATTTATCTCTTCCCACACAAACATATAATAGAAACTGCAATGGCTGTCCCCCAACAACACACAGAGGATGACAGATAGCTAATCACCAAGTACTGATAGCCTTTACCATATTCCTTTACCAGTGGATTTCATTTCCAAGTTCAGGGGCCGTATTCCCAGGACTAGTGGTAAAGAGGACCCGTGCTGTGCTGCAGGGCTCTGGCTCCCAGTGCGACCGTCCCACTTGCTTTCGGGGAGCTGTTCCAGCCACTGCAAACGTCAGTTACAGAGCAAACACAACCTGGAGGAATCAGCTCCCACCACCGCCTGCGAGTTCCTCGCTGCCCTCTTCGCTTACTCTTTAAGGAAAGGGTGATCTCTGTTGTGAAATCAAAGCTTCAGGGGCAGAGTCAACACTTGGAAAAAGATTTAAACGTTTTGCTTGAAGGCTTTGAAAATTAATCAGTGCATTCAACAGAGAAATAAACACAGCACAGACATTTGTAAATACAGTATCCCAGATCATATATAATACATGACTGTAAAAGCAATCTATTGTATGTAAAGTACAGACAAATTATACAGGGAATGTTTAAATGTTTAAAAACTTAAAGTAAAAGACCTCTTGCCATGAATCCCCCTCAAAATCCTCTTCCCTGCTTCACACACATTTACCCCATCACTCTTGGGTCTTTCTGAAGTAGTCCAGGAAGACCTTTGCATGAATGGTGGTTTTTTAAATCTTTTTACTTTATTTTATTTTTTAATTTTGTATTCATTTTAATGAGAAAAAAAGATAAAATAGAAATGAAACAGTTTCAAAACAGGTTAGTAGGATATTTACAATTAATACATTGCATTTTGTTGTCTTCATAGTAGTCATTCAGAGGACAAGATGCAGACATGATCTCTTGTCTAAACAACATTAGTACAAATCTTTATTCTCAATGAACTAAGAGAAAGTAGCTGTATGTCTATCCTAACTCTCTTGTATATACATGTATATTTTTCTTTCCTTTTTTCTTCAAAGCAAAACGGTCCTTATTTTACACTTTTGTGAAGTTAGTAACATGTGACCACTAGGTTGCCTAGTGACCACTAACTAACCTTAACCAGACAGGATGTTCCTCTCAGGAGTGAGGTAGCTTGTTTGCTTTAGGCACTAGGCAGAGTCCCACCTACACATATTTGACTGATTTCCTAGCTCCGTGGCTCCCAACAGATCCCCCCTTTTCATTTTGTTTTATCAGAGATGGGTGTTCCACTGCAGTTAGGGAAGCTGTATTTGGAGAAGTCTTTAAAGGACCGTTTCATACATGAAGCCAGTCCAAGATTGTAGGTACTTGAATTCAGCAAATAACCCGGTATAGTCCAACAGTCCTGTATGAATGTTTTTTTAGCAAGATCAAAAATATATGGCCAGTGCTCCCGCTGAGCATCACCCACAGGAGAAGCAAGTGGTAAAAGCACGACGGCGCGTCCCCATCCACCTCACCTCCTGGATTTGACACCACGTGACTTCCGGCTCTTCCCCAGAGTCAGAGCACCATGCAAGGGAAGCAATCTGATTCAGTTCAGCATCCCAAGGCCCCCTCAACAGCAAAATTATAGGTACTCAAGAAAGGGGTCTTCCAGAGTGCTTCAGAAGGAGCCAACGGATGAGGTCAGTGTGTTTGGAGGGAGGGCGGGGCATTCTGGGGAGCACACTCGGCAACGTGACTTCCATAACTTTTTAAAAACTTGAGCGCTCTACACATCTGATCATGCCTCATATCTCTGTGAAATTTCCGTACTGTCCCCATGTTGACACAGCGAACTCACCTCACCTGCACTCCCTCCTCTCAGGAGGCAGAGGCAACGTAGCTGACACTGCCACGAACCGCAGAATGTGTGGAGCTGTGTCAAAGTGGCACAGGGAACTCAGAATGTGTGGAGCTGTGTCAAAGTGGCACAGGCATCAGCTATCTGCTTTACAATAAACATGCAGTAGCCACACTAGTGCACCACAAGTGGGGGCAGTCACCCAAAATTTATAGCTACCCTGACCTCTACGCACAGCAGCTTGTATATGGAGCTTAAATGGCACCAAATGCTCCAGTAAAGTTCCCTTCCAACATCCCAAGAACAGGAATTGTATCTTCAGATATCATGAGCTAACCAAACACACGGAAGAGTAGTCCAGAATCCTGAACAGCATGCTGTAACTTGCCGACACAGTCCAATTACGGAACAGAATGCACAGGTATTTTTTCTAACAATCCAGCTAAAAAATCAAAGAAGTAAACGAAGCAGAGTAAAACTGAGGCCAAAGAAAATAAAGGAAAAGTACCACAAAAAAAAAATTCATGGTAGACATGGACATGATTTGGGAAATCAGTTAAGGTCTGATGCGATTAATTCTTCTTCTCCTTGCTACAAGCAAGCTCTAACCATCGCTAGAACGCCCTCCCTCGGATTCCGCAGAAAGCAAAGACCTTCGCTTCTCAGGCCCTCCCATCAGCACAGGCCCGGAATAAACAGAAGGCCCTGGAGGGAGCTCGCCAGGGGACCCGTGGGGAGCCGCCGCCCTCCTGCGAAGCGCCTTCCACATGCTCCTCCGCTGCCTCTGAGTCCTGCCTGTCCTTCTGCACAGCTCTCGAAGGAACCAGGGAGGAGCCTACGGCAAAGCTCACACCTTGGACTGAGTCCCTGTTCCCTCATAATGCCGAACTTTGCTGTGATGGAAGCTTCCAGAATACAAATACCTACATCTCTTACATGGTTCGATTTCAATCAACATTCATGACAGCGGAACTCCCTTGATACGAAACATGGCCATGCTAGCAAATAGTAAAGAATTACTCTTCCCCCACCAAAAAGGTGTTTAAAACCTTCCCTTCTAGGAAGCTGAAGGAAAATGAAGATCCTATTGTAAAGAAGAAAAAATAAAGGGCAATAGTTAAAACATAAAATGATCAGAACCGGTACCTATAAAATCTTGGGGAGAGTTTAATATTTTATGGTCTTTTCACAAAGCAAAGCTGTTCTAACCCTCACAGGAAAGTATTTCAAAACTTTATAGCTGGAGAAGATTAAAAGCACATTTCATCAATAAATTCTCACATGTTGAATATCTTCACAATATAATTTTAAGTGGAAATTTCAGAATATCAAATAGAATTATGTAGAGTTGAGATGCTTAGTTTTTACATATTTTCAAACATATTACATTACACAATCAACCCACTGTATAAAATCTACATTTGAATTATATAAAATTTGGTGTACAGATCTGCCAAATTTAAGTACAGCTTAAAGTTGGTGTAAACATGCACAATTAAGAGAATCAAGTAAGCAAATAAATGTTGGTAAAAAAAAAATAAAACACACAGTTTTAGTTATATTTGTGGGGGGGTCATTTTAACTTAAAAGTCTGTAGTTCCTGCTAGCAAGAATAATTGTTTTCTATTTTTAAAAAGTGAATCAAGGGCAGTGAATCACTTGCTAATGTGTGGATCGGTACGTGGGTAGGGGAGAACTGAAAGAAATTCTCTGACAGCATGTTTTTCATTCTTAATTTTTCTCCAAGATTTTGTTTTTAAGTTAGTAGCAGAAACAAATTCCAAAAAATGAGATTCTACACCATACCTTGATGTGACCCCACAATGCTGCGGTCTCATTGGGCCTACGCAACCTGCCTGGCTTCCAAAATGTGCCATGAAAGGGAAACTGAGTCAGCGTCTCCCTGAAGAATCTGGCCCCTGACAGCGCTGAGAACAGACGGGCACAGGTTGGTGTCGGGAGGAATTCTAGGACATTACTATCTGAGGACATCACAAATGTAATGCTTCATTCCAAAAAAATGAGTAGGGAGGTATAGTAACTCATTCATAAGCCGATATCACTAGAACAAAATAAAAAAGAAGCACAGGCTGTGTTTAAAAATCTTTCAAGGAAAGCCAGTGGCCGCAGTTCGTTTAGTGATGTAAGTGAATGTGGCGTCCAACCACTACAAAGAGCAAGCCAGCCAGCAAGGAGAAAACTATCCCTGCTGGGGCCACAAAGAAAGACCAGCCAAACAGGACGGACGGGGTGAACTCCAGGCAGTCCTTCAGCTTCTCGCTCCGGTAGCCCTCCAAGTCCACCACCAGCTGGACCCAGATGACGTACAGCAGCACCACCATGACAAACAGGAGGCCTGGGGAGGACAGGAGAGGACTTAGTACTGTGGGCTGTGAGACTCATCGCTTACCTCCAGTTTCCAAAGCACTGCGCAGGGGGCTGTGTCTGTCCAAGAACGACAGGCCGGGCGGGCCCCCCTTCATCAGGCCCTGACCCCCCGGCGGGCTGGCTCGGGCTGGGTGTCTGCAAACGGAAGAGCCAAGACCCAGCTCCGAGGAGCTGCATCCTAACGCACGGCGGCTGGCTGGGGATGAGCTCCGTACTACACTGCGCCTTTTAATTTTTTCAACCAACCAGCGATACCAGTTTTAAGTACAAATGGACACAGCTGGCACAAGGCTGACTTTGAGCCCAGGTCTTTCTGTCTGTCGAGCTGTGGCACTCAGCACACCACTGAAGCTCAAGTTAAACATGACTATGAGAACAGAAACCCGAACTAGAGAAGGAAACACTACATATACTCAAAGACCCACCCCTGACTCTGTAAAACTGGAACACAGATCTGATGGCTGGGCAAGGCATGTGGACACGGTGTCTTGGGAGGATGAGAGACGACGACTGGCGACACAAGATATTAAGGAACGAAGAGCAGAGACTCAAGATCAAGAACCTTTTTAAGGGAAAGGAAGGGAAGGAGGGAGGGAAGGAAGGATAGAAGGGCAAGAAAGGGAAGAAGGAAGAGATGAAAGGAGAAAGGAGGAAGAAAAGAAGGAAAATTAGCCAGAAAGCAGTATCAGAATTTATCAGCAACTCCCAGGCAACTGTAAACCACCAGTTCAAAAACACTGTTGGAATTCTAAGAGCAGAGAAAGTACTTCAAAGTTGAACCCATGACCCCCACAAAAAGATATAACAGAAAACCACTCTGAACCCTGAAATTTGAGGCTACCTCTAGGCACACTTTTCCATGCTGCTGGTACTACAATCACAGGAAGAGACCACTGCGTCTGCTGATTGATTAGTGGCTCAACACAGACCACAGAGCCCACACGATTCAAATTTGCCCCAACACAAAATAACCACTTGTTCTTTGTGCAAAAGTTCATTTCAAACACACCCAGGATTGTAGAGGCCAGCCAGAGATGCTGGGTTAATTTCCCGTCTCTTGAGGCAAGAATCCTGAGGACCTTCTAAGGAGAGACTCGTGTGGAGGGAAGATTGATTTTGGCTCATAGTTTTTGAGGTTCCAGTTCATAGTATTATGTTCTGTTGGACGGGGACTCTGTGAGGCCAAACCTCATGGTGGGAGCCTGTGGTAGAAAATCACTTGCCTCATTGTGACACGGAGACCGAAAGAAAGAAGAGTAAGAGAAAAAAAGCCAGCATTCTGATATCCCACGCAAGGGCCCGGGAACCTAACTTTCTTCCACCGGATCCACTGCTAAGCATTCTGCCGTATGCCAACAGCACCAGGGCTGTGGGCCAAGTCTTCAGCACCCAGTCCTCCACGTTGAAGCTATATAAGCCCTGAAGCCTCGATATTCTGGGTACTGTAATGTCCGGAAAGCAAATGCAATTCCAGGAGCAGAGGGACAGAATGTGAGGCACACTGGTAAAAGAAATGGCTTGAGAGGGGCAGGGATTATCGAACTCTGCGCTAGCTGCGTTCCTGCTCTCCTGAGGACATGTCCTCTCTTGGGCCATCGCATCTGCGATGGTTCACCTCGATGTCCCTCTCAAGCCTCACGCTAGCCTAGGCAGGCTGCCTGGAAGGTGCTTGGAAGATGACGGATTACAGCTGCCTTGCCATTGGGAGGTGGGGCCTGGTCAGACAGTCACTGGCTGGATCCGGAAGGTCACCCCGCCCGCCCCTGGCTCCTGCCTTAACTCTGCTCTGTCTGCCGAGTGAGAGGCTCTCCTCCAGCAGGCCCCTGTGCACAGCCCTCCTGCCTTGGAAACAGGCAGCGCTGGTAGGTCTGAGGCTGCTGACGAATGAGCCAAAGAAACCTCTCCCCGCTTAAGCCGCGCGCCACACTATGTCTCAGCAGTGAGGAAAGGGAGTAAGACAAGACCGCAAAGAACCCAGAGGAGCAGAGACAGAGGAACGGCACACGGCACGTCAGGGGCAGGCAGCACCGCAGCGGCGCCTGCTCCTCACTGGGGACAGCGCGGCACCAGCACAGAAGCTGCACTGGTACCCAAGTGCTCCTCGGTGTGGCCTAGGTAGATGGGCGAGCAGCACAGCGACTGCCACAGGCCGGTGAGGCCGCCAGCAGCTGGCAGCAAGCCCTGGGAAGCGCCCTTGCACGCTGGGACGTGAGTGCAGTGGGCCCATCAGTGCCACGCCGGCAGAGGCACGTGCATGGAATCCTCGCCCCCGCAAGCACCTCGCACACCTCTGTGCTACTTGCTGCTGTGGTTTTCACCTTCCCTGCATCACATACGTCTCATGCATTCAGATACCATCAGGAAAGACAAAGAAATTGCCCTTGTGAAAAACCACTAGCCTCACACATGTCTTCACAAAAATTGCAAAACCCATTACAAAGGCATTTGGAGTATGAAGAAAGGCACCAGGGTAATCACGGAGATAGCTCTTTACAAGGAAGAGTTAACTTGTATTTAAACACTCTGTTATTTGCAAAGGAATCACATCAGGAAAGCACTGAAGAACAGTCACTCCTGCCACTATAGCCTCTCACTTGCTCACTAATGGAAGACCAGCCAATTTAATTTGTATCAAATCAGCTTATGATTATATCTCACCCGGGGGTAAAACAGGCAGGGCCTCCCTGCCCACTAAATTATAAACGGGGATGGGGGCGAGAAGCTAGCAAACACAGAGAAATTTCTTGCACTAAAGAATAATGACGTGACTGTGACTGATAGGGCCGAAAGAATTCATTATGGGGACCCGCATGAAGTCTGGGGCGGAAGAGGAAGCTGCCACTACAGCGAGAGTGACAGGAAGTAAGCCACTGGGCCAGCTGAGGACAGGAGTCTCACGCCGCAAATCCAGCCACAGCTGTGAAGACGACTGGAAGCTAGAACGAGCCGTATGGTGCTTGGCAGGAACTGAATGGGTTGGTATGAATTCATGGTGCTCAGTGAATAGATACCAGGGAGATGCAGACAGATGCAGCCACGGATGATGGATGGAGAGATGGGTGAGCAAGAAGCAAACGCAGAAGTGACTGTGTGTGTGTGTGTGTGTGTGTGCGTGCTTTAACATACGCACCACACCCATGCACAACCAAATAGAGTTCCTGCTCACTTTGCTGAGAAGGCCTGGAGTGTGAACAGTCTAGGAGCAGGAGCTGACCAAGGGTCCAGATCTTGGCTTCTGAATACCAGGAGCCTGGGCTTCTCCAACACAGGGCCAGATCCAGGCCGGCACGCAGTTCATGAAGAGCCTGGCCACCTGGCTGTGCAGGAAACAAGAGCTGCGCTCAGCGATCCTCCAGCCAGGCAGGGCCTCCTGCGGCCCGGCCAACAGATCTGACCAGATGAATGCTGATCTCGCCCCATTATACCTTTAGTGAATAAAACAGCGACAGACATAGATGATTAAAGGAATAAATGGCACTAGGAGGATCTTTCCCTCACAGTAGAAAACTGAATTATAGATGAGAAGGAGGCAGCGTCACTCCGTGGCAGTCACTTAAGCAACAACTCAAGTAAGAAAGATGGATGCTGAAAGGAGAGTGAAACTCGATGGATCACAGTCTGCTCACCCAGGCTCAAACTTCCTTTGCACAGAATTTTACAGCAAAGCAGAAAACCAGAAAATACCACGTTATTCAACTTTTTGAGCCCAACATCACCAATGCCATGACAAATAGACACCACATGTCACTTGGCAAGGTGCAGTGAACACAGCCTTATGGCTATGACACTACAACCCAAAGTGCAGAATTTAAGTCTAACCATGGAAAAGTATCAAGTAACCCAAACTTAACACCATTCCACAAAGTCATTGGCCAGTTTCTGAACGTGTCAAGGTTTTGAAGGCCCAAGAATGAGTTCTTCTGTATTGATGGAGATTCTGACCACACAGGAAGTAATCACAATGCATGGTCCAGGGTTCGACCCTTTTGTTGAAAGAGATATTAAAGGGACAATTGGGAAAACTTCAGCAGTCTCTGGGAGAAAGTGCCTGCAAGTCTCTCGTAAGTCTGAAGATATTCCAAAACAAAAGCCAAAATAAATGACTTGAGAAAAAGGTTGGAAAAGTCTGTGGCTGTGTATGTTGGGAAGAATGGAGAGGTAGAGAAGGCAGACAGAGAGACAGAGAGACAGACAGACAGACATGTCCTACGTATGTGGGGCATGCTATCAGTGGACAATAATACTGGTCTTGGCTGCAGGACAGGCTGTTAGGATGGAAACCCTTCCTCTTAGATATCTTAAGACTGTCATTTAAAGAACTATACCCAGCAAGGTGCTGTGGTAACTACTGAGTTACATGTCAAAGCCACTTGCCGATCATGATTTTAGCAGGCACAGAAAATCTACTAACATTTAGTTCAATAATTTGTTTTTTACAATAGCAGCATACTCAAATTTGATTATATTTATATATATGTATAGACATACATACATATATATATATATATATATTTTAATGTACTGAGTACAGGGTCTACAGTTCTCACTACATAGATCAGACTCTTAGTGATCCTCCTTTTTTTCAGCCTTCCAAGAACTAGGATTACATGCATGTGCCACTATGCCCAGTCCTAGCTGCCATCTCAGCATGACCCAGGGATGAGGCCAGTACAACACGATGGGGATCAAACCCCAGTTGCTGCACCTGCCTAAGCCGGTACTTTAGTCTGCTGAGCTATCTGGCCAGCCCTAGTCCTATATTTTGAAAGAGAAAAAATTTATACAATTAATTTTCATGATATCTATGTTTTTCAAGTCCAACAAAAACATTTTATGAGGGGTTGGGGAGATAGTTCAGTAGAATAAGCACTTGCCTGGCAAGCACAAGGTCCTGAGTTCAATCCCTGGTACCAAAAAAAAAAAAAAAAAAAAAAAAAAAAAAAAAAAAAATCATGAAATTGTCACTGA